GAAGTGACATTGCCGCCAGTGCTGACCAGCCTGTCGGATAACAAGCTCCACAGGGCCACAGAGCAGCTCTCCTGACTGTTGGGATCTGTGTGTGTGTGTGTGTGTGTGTGTGTGTGTGTGTGTTCTGCTCAGTGGCCCTGAGCAAGCATTATGGACTAAAATTAACTGCTAACTACATACTCAACTATGAGTAATGGAGATGAAGGTATTTATTCGAAACAGGGTCTCGTTCTCGTGTAGCTGGGCCTGGCCTCAAACTTCCAACTCTCCTGCCTCCACCCCACCCCCGTGTAATGGGCCCTCATGCGTGAGCCGACACACCCAGCTAAAGGAGTAAAGAACTTTAAGATGAGGCCGTTCAGATGTTTCCTGACCCTCCTACCTTCATCCAGGCTGAGGTCTTCCAAGGGAGGAGTCCCACAAAAAAACGTCTCTGCACTTGAAAAAGGATTAGTCCAGATGGGAAGTACCTGTCTGCGATCCCCTGGACTGGGTAGCCACCCCAGCTCCCACCACATAAACATGACACATCGTGGCAGCATCCTGTGAATAATGCCTTACTAACACAGCCGAGCTGAGTTTCTAGGTAGGGACGGAAGGAAAGTGCATCACTATGAGGTAGACGGGACAGATCTGAGGGCAAGGCTCAGGCCCTCTTCTCACTTTCATACAGCGCCCCGGAGTAGAGCCCTGCACTCTTACTCCGAACAAAGCAAGTAGACTTTAGATTAATGAGAGCGTGCACTAAAACAGGAGAAGCCAGTGAGTGTGTCTGTGTGTGTGTGTGTCTGTGTGTGTGTCTGTGTGTGTGTGTCTGTGTGTGTGTGTCTGTGTGTGTGTGTCTGTGTGTGTGTCTGTGTGTCTGTGTGTGTGTGTGTGTCTGTGTGTGTATCTGTGTGTGTGTGTCTGTGTGTGTGTGTCTGTGTGTCTGTGTGTGTCTGTGTGTGTGTGTGTGTCTGTGTGTAGGCACAGCCCTGGGATATTCCAGACAGGTGGGTCTTTGTGTGTTTGGGGCAGCCTGGTTTACATAATGAGCTCCAGGTCAGTCAGACCTCCATCGTAAAACCCAGTGTGCAAACAAAACAAAGAGCAACAGAGAGCAGTTAGAGATGCAGCCTGTGGAAGAAGAAAATCATCACAGCATGAGAATCTGTAAAACAAAAGCTACAGGAAACTAAAAGAAGCGACAAAGTTATAGCTTCTTTTCTTGGTGTAGAGTCTGTGCCCCATATCTGTGTGAGTATGTGCTGGTGTAGAGTCTGTACCCCGTATCTGTGTGCGTATGTGCTGGTGTAGAGTCTGTGCCCCGTATCTGTGTGAGTATGTGCTGGTGTAGAGTCTGTGCCCCGTATCTGTGTGAGTATGCGCTGGTGTAGAGTCTGTGCCCCGTATCTGTGTGCGTATGTGCTGGTGTAGAGTCTGTGCCCCGTATCTGTGTGAGTATGTGCTGGTGTAGAGTCTGTGCCCCGTATCTGTGTGAGTATGTGCTAGTGTAGAGTCTGTACCCCGTATCTGTGTGAGTATGTGCTGGTGTAGAGTCTGTGCCCCATATCTGTGTGAGTATGTGCTGGTGTAGAGTCTGTACCCCGTATCTGTGTGCGTATGCGCTGGTGTAGAGTCTGTACCCCGTATCTGTGTGAGTATATGCTTACACACAGAGGCCAGAGACAGACATTGAATGTCCTCCTCCATTGCTCTATCATAGTCTCTTGAGACAGTCTCCCGCTGTACCTGAAGCTCAATGTTCTGGTAGACTGGCTGGCTGGGAAACTCTCAGGATCTGCCTATCTCTGCCCCCCTCCCTGGGTTTACAGACACACATGGCCATACACGGCTATGCCCGGGTTTACATGGGTGTTTAAGATTCTAACTCAGGTCTTCGGGCTTACACATCAAGCTCTTGTCCAGGGAACCAGCTCCTCAGCCTCCGTAGATGACTTTTAAAATCTGGTCCTTGGCAGATGTCATACATAAAAAATAACCAACATAATCTCAAAACTATTTTCTGGATACTTTAATGGAAACACTGTCTATCTTCATACGATTCATCTCTCCATTATTAACTAGGCCCTCTGAACTGGTGGCTGTCAAGCACTTTCTGTAATGGCAGTAAGTAGTTTGGTTTTTGGAAGCCATAACTTTGTAACATAAAAATAGTCACAAATAACACAAAAACAAATGACCATTAATATGTTCCCATGAAACTCTTTAATCCCAGCATTTGGGAGGCAGAGGTAGGCAGATCTCAGTGAGTTTGAGGCTATCCTGGTCTACAAAGTGAGTTCCAGAATACACAGAGAAGCACTGTCTTGAAAAACAACCAAGAAAAAGAAGAAAGGAAGGAAGAAAGACTCTTTATTAAGGAGGAAAAAAACAAAATTCCAGGCCATTTTGGACTGTACACCATAGTTTGCTAACCCTGCACTATCTGATGGAATTTATCCAAATGGTCATGAATGTTTACCAAAGCCTGAGTGCCATTTAGAACGCAAAGAATCTGAAAATCTAAAGTAAACGTACAGACTTGGTGCGGTGGGCCGCGCCTGTACTCCCAGCCACTCGAAACGGGGAAAGTGGAGAAAGACACGTTTGAGCTCTGGAGTTTGAGATGCTCCAGGACAGCTGACCAAGACTTAGTCTCAAAATGAAAGGAGGGAAAGAAGGAAGGGAAGAAAGGCCATAAGAACAAGAATAAAGTGGGCACGGGGACACGCACCTTAGTCTCAGCACTTAGGAAGCAGAGAGTTCAAGGCCAGCCTGCTCTACGTGGTAACTTCCAGGTCTGCCAGGGCCACAATGAAACCTTGTCTCAAAAAAAAAAGCAACAGTGGGGGGACAAAAATACAAACACTGAACTTTCGGAGGGTAGCTCAGGCCTATACTCCCAGCACTGAGAAAGTGGGGTAACCTGATCTACACCAGGTCAGTGAAGTCTATTTGAATTCCTTTCTTGAAACAATAGCAGGAGCTGACAAGCTGGCTAGATGGTAAAGGTGGCGCACCACCAAGCCTAAGGAGCTGAGTGCCATACACAAGACACACGGTGGCAAGAGTAAGCCAGTTCCCTCAAGTTGTCCCTTGACACTCACAATATGCACTGTGGCATGCTCACACCTACAGACAGACAGAAGGGAGGAGGCTCCAACAAACGAGAAAAAAAGTCAGCACTGGTCGGAAGGTCAGATCCCCTCCAAGGAAAGCCCTAGCCCTGTTCAGTTTACTGTGACTATTTGGACTGTCTGATCCCACCGTCCCCTCTGTGGATCTGCGGAAAGAACAACAGAGTCTTCCGCCATCAACATTCCTCTTCACACCCCCGTAGTCCTCAAACCTCTCAAGAATGGAACGAAATTGAAAATGCAGGTTTTCAATCAGCCTCTGAAGGAGACTGTGCAGCCTCAGGAAAGCAAGGATCTACACACAGAAAACACACTTGGGGCATCCCCAAAGACCCCCTTAGCACAAGGACCTCAGGGAACAGGTAGCTGCCTAATAAGTTAGTTTCTGCAGAACCCAGGGAACATTGGACTGCCTGGGGCCAGGTAGAGACCTCTTCTTAGGAAATCACAGACCTGCCCTCTGGCCATTCCCTTTGGGCCTGGAGGCCAGCCTCTCCATTCTTGCTTTGATCCTAGGGCAGCACCTCCCAGTCCTTCCTCTCTCTCTCTCTCTCTCTCTCTCTCTCTCTCTCTCTCTCTCTCACCCCTCAGGGTGGAGTGCTGGCCTCACCCTCCCCTCCAAGTTCCCAAGCCATTGTGTCTGAAGTGGCTAAAGAATTCTCCTTTAGGAATGAGCTCAGAGCTGTGGCTGATTCCAAAGGACCCTTCACCAGGCTTCAACAAAAGCCTCTGAGAAGAAAGCTAGGCTGAAGAAAAGTCAGGAATGTTGGACCTTCCAATTCCTGGATCCAAGCAGGCTTTATCATTTAGAAGCCTTCACTACAGGTGTTTTAAGAAAATTTTGGTCAGACATGGTGACGGATATCTCTATAATCCCAGCACTCTCAAAGCTGAGGCAGAAAGATGGTTACAAACTTGAGGCCAGCCTGGATATCAAACAAAACAAAGCAAAAAAGCAACAACCACCACTGTTTTCTGTCTTCAGATTCGATGAGATTAGCTAGCCTCCTGCCCTTACTTGCTGCCTTGCTTCTCCTCTGGGAAAGGAAGCTTTTCACCCTCTCGAAAGCCAGGCAGAAGTTAAAGGGAGAAAAGGTCTTGGACCGTGGGGCACTAGGAGAAGTAAAGGGTTGGGTGGAGGAACACCAAGGGCTCCCCTTGGTTTTATTCTGTCACACACGTGAGTGTGGGAGTTCTGAGGAAGATCTAGAAGTCGCTCTTTCTGAGCCTTCTCTCCTTTGGGAAGGAAGTGCCTCCTTGCACTGTCTCCACGTGCCCACTCGATTCATTCACAAGCTCTCGGAACTCAGGCTCAGTAACAAACAAACAAACAAACAAACAGAAAGCCGGCCAGTAGTGACACACGCCCTTATCCCCAGCACTCCGGAGGCAGAGGCACGCGGATCTCTGTGAGTTCAAGACCAGCCTGGTCTACTACAGAACTAACTCCAGGACAGCCAGGGCTACACAGAGAAAACCCTGTCTCGAAAACCAAAAAGCTCAGTAACACCCCATCTTTCACCAGGGGCTCAGAGGCACCTGGGAGTAGCCTAGTGCACAAGACCGACCTCTTTTCATTGCAACATTTTAAATATTGCTTTGTATTTTAAGATAGGGACTTACATAGCCCAGGCTGGCCCTATCGCCTTCTACCACCCAGGTGCAGGATTACAAGCTTAGTGGTCTTTCCCCTCTGTCTTAGCCTGGGAAGCCCAGAGAACGCCTTCCGTCCGAGGTGCGTGAAGCTCAGTTTCATCAGTTTCTCCTAGCCAGCTGCAGTCCATCACAGGTTGTCTCTGCTCTCCTACCCCAAGGGCTCTCCAAGCCCCACTCTCCGGATTTAAAGCTGGGCCCCGTTCGCCTTTCACTACACCCTCTTACCTGGTCGCCGCGGCGCTGGGGGTGAACCGAGAACTTATGAATCGCGCGCGTGGGAGGGGCGAGCGAGCGTGGGACCCCTGCCTGCTAGGCGCGTCCCGGGACACGGATCCCGCCTAGGCTGCGCAGAGCAGTTATAAAGGCTTCTGTCGCGGGAGGGAGGGAAAGGGTGAGCCGAGGGACAGGGGGCGGGGGGCGGGGCTGGGGGGGGCGAGGACACGCCTAATCCAGCTCCGCGGCACTTCTCGCTGTTATGAAAATAAAGTCACCGCGCCAGAGACTGAACCAAAAGCCTCCCTGACGTCAGAAGAACAGTCACTCATGAAATAGGTGGTAGGGTTGTGGAGGAAGCATCCGAGTCTGCCAGGCGTAACTCCCCAAGACAAACGCTGGCATCAGGCGGGAGCGCCGGTAAGATAAGGGCCACACCGTGAACCCAGCTGCGGACGGGCGCTCCTGGCTGTCGTCTCCTGGAGGGAGCCACACCCATCCTCCCCAGGGCCCCAAGGGTCAAGACCTAGCCAGCGGCTCCTTGCCGCTCCTTTGTTACTTTCTGCAGGAGGAGTTGGTCTTCATTTCCCCTTGGTGACACCTGTCTCCTAATCACCCCTTCCTCCAGTGCCAGCGAGCGCTGGGAGGAGCCAGGCTTAAAAGAAAAAAGATGGTCCCCTAGTCAAAGCGAAGGAGGTAAAGACCAAGGAAAAGTCCCCTGAGGACCCAAAGATGGTTCAGGAAGGCCACTTAGTGGAACTGTATTCGCGTAACCAGGTTAGTATAGCCCTGGGCTGAGAGATCATATCACTGTCTTCCTAACCAGCTCTCCAAAAGTTTGACAAAGAAGGTTGATAGGAAAGGGGACGCCAGATAAAATTTTGAAACGAAGGAATTTGCCTTTGGTGTCGGATTCCACCTGTCTAGGCGGGTGCCCACAGCTCTCCCATTATCAGGCCAGTCTGTCTGGAACTTGCCTGTCCAGTGGTCAAAAAGCCCTGGAATGTGTTGTTGGGCCTGGTTCTACCGGGTCACCTTGGTGGCCTGGGGGAATTGGACTTTAAGGTGGTGGGGAAGGTTTAGAGCAATGGTTCTCAACCTTCCTGATGCTTCGGCCCTTTGATACAGTCCCTCGGGTTGTGGTGACCCCACCCATAAAAGTATTGGCATTGCTACTTCAGAATTTTGCTACTGTTATGAATCACAAAATTAATATCTGTGTTTTCCGATGATCTTAGGTGACCTCTGTGAAGGGGTTTTTCAATTCCCAAAGGGTTTTGACCCATGAGTTAAGAACCACTGACCTAGGGAGAAAAAAAAAAAAAAAACTCTTTTCTTTGATCCACACTGTGTGTGCCCAGCCTGACAACCCAAATCAGCGAAGTCCAAGAAGAGCACCAAGACTACAAAATTGTCCCTGGCCTGTACAATGACCACAGTGAATATACACACACTGCAACAGAAAGAGAAAGACAGAAAGACTCTTCATGAGCTTATGTTATGGTGTGCAAGGTACTGGGTTCAAGCCCCAGGACTGGAATACTCTGCATCTTTGGAGGTCTTGCCTCTGTTGATCTCACGCTCAGGAAGCCACAGCCACTACCTTAACTTGGCTGGTGGTTTCCCTAGAGGCCTGCAGGTCAGGGGGCTTCAAGTGCTCTCTTCCTCTCCTGGGGCTCATCAAGGGACAGAGGCCTGGGAAAGGGACTTTGAGAAGGATGGGACTGGAAAGGACTTTGCTCTGAACTTCTTCTCTCTTGTCTACAGAAACTTGACCAACAGAACCGTAACCAGTCCGCAAATTCTAGGCATGTATGTAGGCATTGAAACAACACAGTTTCCAGCAGTCAAGTTATAAGAAGTAAAAAAGACATAGAAGGGCTAGGCATGGTGGCTCACACCCATTGTCCCAACACTTGAGAGGCTAAAGCCTGTTGTCATTCAAGCCATACCAGGCTATAAAGTAAGACCTTGTCTCAAGAAGAAGAAGAAGAAATGAAGAAAAGAGGAAATGAGAGAAAAAGGAATGAACTTTATCATATGTTTAAACCAATAAATCCAAATAAGATTATCTCAACACATTATCCATCTTTTAAAATATGAGGCCAGTGGTAGAGGGCATGGAGAGATGAATCAGCCTTTATGAGCACTGACTGATCTTCCAAGGGACTTGAGTTCAATTCCTAGCACCCACATGGTAACCCACAATTCTACCTCCCGTTTCAGGGACCCGATGCCCTCTTCTGGACCCTCTGGGTACCCATGTCACACACAGTACACAGACATACATGCCGACAGAACACTCGTACACAGAAGACAATTCTTTTTAATGAAGCAAGGGGCGGAGAAATGGCTGGCTCAGTGGGTAGACATGCTGTCGTGAAGCCTGATGTCCTGGGTTTTATCCCCGAGTCCCACATAGCAGAGGAGAGAAACACTTCTGCAAATCGTCCTCTGACCTCCACATGTGTGTTGTGGCAAGGACTCACACACTATATAAATAAGTGCACACATAGATGTAATTTTAAATTGGCTTTAATTCTGAATAAAATACAAATCTAGACATGATGACATGTGACCACCATCCCAGCACGTGGCAGACTAACACTGGAGGATGTTGAGTTCAGTCATATCCTGAGCTACGTAGTGAGGCTTTGCAGAGAAAATTATTAAGTTATTTTTGCATTATTTTGTCACATTATGACCTCAAAAATTCATGCCGCTTTAGACCAGTCACATATCAGGGGACCAAAAGTCATGTGCGGTTCGTGGCTGCCACCCTGGACAGCACAGAGCTAGCTGTCACTGAGGGCACTTCTAGCCCTGTTTTAGGGTCTGAGTCACTATGTCTGGGGTGAGGCTCATGACGTCAAGTAGAGGACGTCAGGTCTGAGGAGGAAGCAAGAGCAGAGAGGACAAGATTTCTTCGTTGCCACTGGCAACTTTCTCTGATGCCCGTTGTGCCCTAAAATACAGAGTCTAAATGATGTCTGGCTGACTGGTCCAGGCTCGTGACTAAGAGACACCCTTGTATGGGAAGGCGCTCTCTCGCGCCCTCGCTCTCCTTATATTTCACTTTGTCATTGACTTTGGATGCCCACCTGTCAGGTAGGAATTTCCTCCTAATTAAAACATTTTGGTCCTGGAGGAAAATCCGTAAGATTCGGGGCGCGAATGAGAGTTACCCAGCCCCACCCCAAGGTTACAGAGCAGTTAACAATTATTAGAGAGTAGAGACTCTCTGGTGAGATGCTTGCAAGCTGGGCGGGGAAGCAGCAAGGGTACTTTGATGAGTCACCACCCAGGGCTGGAGTGGACTTTTCAGTGCTCCCTTTGAGTCACCCGTGCTCCTGTAAGTGACCCTTTACCCCTGTTCGTAACCCAGTGAGCTCACTGGTTCACTAGGCTAGACTTGGGTGGAACTGTTTCTTAGATCTATAGTCAGTGTCCTGTCTGGCCTGAGCACAGTTGTTCATGTCATCTCAGGAAAAGTTCTGGAACACTGCCTTGGCCTTTAAGCACCCCTTCCTATCCTCCTTTGGTTCTTTAAAACGTATTTTGTTTTATGTGCATGAGTGTTCTGCTTGTATGTATGTATAAATGAATGAATGAATGTATGTATGTGTACCAAGTGAATTCCTGGTACCCAAGGAGGTCACAAGAGGATATCGAATCCCCTGGAACTGGAGTTACAGATGATTGTGAGTGTCCATGTGGGTGTTGGGAACCAAACCTGGATCTTCTGTAAAAGCAACCAGTGTTCTTAACCACTAAGCCATTCTACCATCCTGTGTTGTTTATAAAGTGGGCCTGTGAGTCACCCATAGTGGATCACACAATGGGAGGCTATGACAAGGAGATTGCTATGAGTTTAAGGCCATCCTGGGCTAGAGGTGAATTCAAGTGTTGTGGAATAATCTTTTTGTACACTGTGAAGATCTGTAATTCTGATTGGTTTAATAAAAAGTTAAACAGCCAATAGCTAGGCAGGATGTCCAGGCAGACGGGATGCTGGGAAGAAGAAAGCCAGATGCAGATTCCAGAAGCAGGATGGGCAAATAGAAATTAGGTAAAGAACACGTAAAAAACCATAGATTAAAAACTGTGGGTTAATTTAAGTTATAAGAGCTAGTTAGAAACAAGCCTGAGCTATTGACCAAGCTTTCATAATTGATTATGAGTCTCTCATGTCTGTTTTTTTGTGTGTGTGTGAGCTGGTGTCCCAAAGAAAAATCCACCTACATTCAAGGACAGCTCAAGCTACAGTGTAAAACCCTGTCTCAAAGCAAAACAAAAATAGTAATTACAAAAAACCAGGTGTGGTAGCCTACATGTGTGATCCAGCACTCAGGAGATGGCCAAAAGCAGGCCAGGAATTCAAAGCCAGTCAGGCTGGCTACATGGAAGGTGAAGGCCAGCCTAGGATACACGAGAGCCTTTCTCAAAAAGCAAAGCATCAGGGCTGGAGAGGTGGCTCAGCAGTTGAGAGCACTGACTGCTCTTCCAGAGGAACTAAACTCTGGTCTAGTTCCCAGCACCCATATGAAGAATCACAACTGGCTGTAACTCCAGTTCCAGGGGATCTGACCTCCATGGATAACATACGCACAAGTGATGTACTTATATACATGCAGGCAAGAACTCATACACGTAAAAATAAAAATAAATCTTTAAAAAACAAACCATGATGTAGCCTGACAGTGGTGGTGGTGCACCCCTTTAATTGCAGCACTCAGGAGATAGAGGCAGGCAGATCTCTGAATTCAAGGACAGCCTGGTCCACAGAGTGAGTTCCAGGACAGCCAGAGCTACACAGAGAAACCCTGTCTCAAAAAAAAAAAAAAAAGTGAACTTGGGGAAGGAGAGATGACTTAGCAGTTAAGAGCAATGTGTTCTCTTCCAGAGGACCCCCAATGCACATAAAATAAAGTTAAATTTTTTAAAGTAAACTGATAAAAATCAAAGAAAGAACTCTTTCAAAAAAAAAAAAAAACAGGGTGTATCTGTAACTCCCGATCCAAAGGATCTGATGCCCTTTGACCACAACAGACACTGCACACCCACGGTACACATACATACATGCAGGCAAGCATTCCCACACAGTTAAAAGAAATAAATCTTTAAAAAC